AGAGGGGTTTAACAACTTTTCTTTTTCACCCTTAGTACAATTTTAAAAAATTTGACCCGTACCCCAACCGAAATGCTTTCAAAATTCAATATAATCTCCCTGAAATGTATCATGGCATGTTTCAGCCGACTAAACACAACCATGGATCTCACACTCTGTATGGGGTAGAAACAAGAAAGAGAGCCCTATACATGTTCAAAGGGAATTTAAAAACTCATAAATGCAAAAAGACCAGGATACGTACAGATTTCAGAGCTGATGTAATAAGCTTTTTCCACTTCATTTTCTTCTCTGCTCTTTCTTGAATAACCTCACCATTGCCTAATTCTGAAGGCATATCATCCCCAGCCTTCTTTCGAGCGCCATTAGTTTCAGATGCCTCAAGTTATCTTTTCTTACTTGACTGCGAAGCACTAATTTCAACTNGAGCACCATTAGTTTCAGATGCCTCGAGTTTTCTTTTCTTACTTGACTGCGAAGCACTATTTTCCACTCCAGAACCATCATTCGTAGGAGCAACTTTAGATGAATTAGGTTCTCTTGATTCCACCATATCTTTCTTATCAGGAATTTCCATTTTGACACTGTTTTTGATGGAAGTCTTGGTTTCTTCTGTATCCTTAGGCTGCTGCTTTGCTGCGTGGAAAGCTCTTGCTTTAGCTCCGTGTTTCTTTCCTTCAGCATGGAGAAGCAAGGTTTGCCTACTGGTAGCCTTAGTATTACATAAGCTGTAAATATATAGCTCCATTAGCGTAGACAGAGTACTCTCATAGGTAAGGAGACAAAACCAAGAAAAAAAACCTATTAATTAATACCAGGAAATAAATGGTACAAATAAACTACCCAGACAGTAATACAAATAAATCACCAAAGACGAGGTATTGCTGCATCTGAATGCTAAAAGAGCTGCAGCTTGAAGCTTTCTAAGAAGCACGAGTTGATGGGAATGAAATTAAGGAGTTGACAAATGCCTACAGATGAGTGCAGATCACTCAGTCGAGTCAATCCATACAATTGATACCCTACAAGCCTTGAAATCTCAAAATACTTTGAAGAGCCCTCAAGCATAGACGTGCACTACTATAGAAGCTTCTAGTAGTAACCTAGCATATATGTTTTACGTTATCTCACTCATTTTAATATAACAACACATAGGGGTCAGCCACCCCATGGCAGGTTCTGGACAGGGGAATTGGGGGCTACCTCCTATGCACCGTGATGTTTAAGAATCAATCTTTCTTGGTCCTGCTCTTATTTTTATTTGAGAAAAATATTCTACTAAGCATTGTTGCTCAATCTGTGCTAAGTATTTTCAACAAATCTAAATTAGTTCCTGGAACCCATCATAAATTGATGCGCCGACAATTAGTAAACCATTTCTCTTTTATTCAATATATAAGAAGAAAATGCCCATGAAGGAAAACAAAATATGATATGAACATACCTACAAAACCACGGAGGGTGTTCTGATAGCCCAACATTTACATCAAAATCTG